GCCGCCGTCCCGCTCTGGAAAGTCTTTGGCAAATCCCATCTGCGTTCCTGGGCGGACGAAAATGGGATGGCTCTCCTCACTTCCGGCGACACGGGGGCCAACTTCTTTACCCTCGAGAAGCTCCAGGAGGTCCTGACACCGGAGTCGTCGTATTTGCTGAAGGCGCCAGGCCAGGGAGGCAAGAATGCAGTTCTCAACTTGGCGGCGGGCCTTGACGTCGCCCTGCTGGAGAAGGACGCCGTGGCGGACTTGGCCGGCATGGACGCTGTCTTCGCGGAACTGACGACGCTGGCGGACAGCATTCGTAGCCTCCACGCCGGCCAGGGAGAGCTGGACAAGGACAAGAGCCGGCAGGGGGCGAAGGACTTGCTCCGCCATTTCGGACACAAGTCGTCCGCAGAGGAGCGCCTGTCCAAGTACGCCGCTCTTGCGGACGCAGGCAGCCGCCTCGCCATGTGCGCCTTCGCGTGCATGGAGCTGACGGCGTTGACGGTCGCCCCCAAAGAGTGGGGGAAACACCTGCGCTCCGGGGCCATCGACAAACAGCACGCCGCCTGGGGCAAGTTCGCCGCGAAGCCGAACCTGGAGAACCTCGCCCTCGCTTTCGCCGCCGGCATCAAGAAGGACTCCGAGGAGAAGGGCATGAAGAAGAAGAAGTTTGCCTTTGGGGTCACTGGCGATGACTCCGCCGCAAGCGACGCCTCCTCGGGCTCGGACTCCTCGAGCGAGAGTGCGTCCTCGTCGAGCCAGAAGGCCAAGACTAAGAAGAGGGGCTCGAAGAAGGCTGCGAAGAAGAGCAAGGGCACCAAGAAAAAGAAGAGCAAGAAGGCGGCCAAGTCCGACGACTCCTCCGACGAGGACTTCAGCGACTCGCCGGAGAAGAAGGCCGCGGAGAAGAAGAAGAAGACGTCTAAGGCGAAGAACGGCAAGAAGGACAAGAAGAAGGACAAGAAGAAGGCTAAGGTCTCCGACTCCGACTCCGGGACGAGCGAGAAACCGAAAGAGAAGGGCAAGAAGGAGAAAAAGGAGAAGCCGGACGCGGGTGTGGAGCCAGATGCGAAGAAGCTCAAGGCAGACGACCTCTCCCCGAAGGAGCGCGCCTTCACGACCTGGGCTTTGTCGGACGCACAGGCAGCCGCAGCGAAAGCCGAGACCTACTTGGCCGGCGACTACAAGCTGGCCGACCTCAAGGGTCTCTTTGCAGAGGTCCCGGCTCTCGTCCGTGACTTCGCTGGTGTGTCGCAATTCGCGGTGGAGCTGCAGAAGATGACGTCGGCGCCGGCCATGAGCACGGCGCGGGAGCCTCTGACGGCTGTGAAAACGACTGGCGTGCTCTGCGAGAAGTGGTACGCCTCGCAGCAGACCGCCGGCAGCGCCTCCGGAGCTGCGAGCGGCGGGGCAGCCCCGGCGGCGCCGACAGCAACGGCGGGCTCTGCGGCGGAGCCACCCGCCACGGGGGCCATGGCGGCGCCGAAGGGCGCCGCGGAACCGAAGAAGGAGCAGTGAGCTCGCTCCACTGCTTCGAACGCTGCTCCTGCGGCGTCTGTGGTACACGTGGGCCGCGCGTGTGTCACTCTCGGGCCCCGTGCCGCAATGCTCGGCGGTTCGGCGAGACGCTCCTGTATTCGCGTCGGTGGCTCCCTCTGCACTCGCCGAGCTACACAGACTAGTAGGCGCCTGCGCCGCTGCCGCGTGTGGAGCACGCGGTGCACCCGGGAGGGGAGACAGGTTCAACTCATGGGAACAGCAGGAGACTGGTGCAGCACGCAGGCGCCGGAGTAATACGTTCTCGGCCGCACAATGATATGACAAGTCGTCCTTGCACGTGCACGCCGCAGCGCGGAGAGTTCCCGACGGCCTGCCCACGGAGTGCGATGACACAAAATGCTCCCCGGCTGTGACCCCAAACAGCAGGCACCACATCTGCGGCGCACTCTATCTGAAGCACTGCGCGAGGTGCAACCTCTGGGATGCAATCTATCCGTTGCAATCGGCGTGGTGCGCTTCCCGTACCTCTGACGTGCATTCCCCTCGCGGGCCCCGTGCCGACGCTTCGGAGATGCATAGTTCCTTCTGGCACGCATGATGCCGCACCCCACTACTAGCTCTTCTGTCCTTCTACAAAATATTGCGACGCGCTCTCGCCCAACAGTATCCGTTCTCTGCTCGCAGCGCGATCAGCGCACAGGAGGGCTCCGCAATCCAACTTTCAATACTTATGCATTCCCGTCTCAGCCAGAAAGCGCGGGGGAGACGCGCGCAAGCTGCCACGCGTAAACCTTCTGTACACCGTCTCCGTCCACACGTCGCGGACCGCGTGGCCAGCCTTCAATTGCCGCTGCGTAAGGTTGCCGTGACCTCTTCCCAACCGATGCCTCCTGAGAGAAGACGCGCTCCAGACGAGGCCCCTTGCATCCATGCACCACCGGCTCGGGTACACAGACCCCGCGTGCTCGGAGAATCCGCATCACTTGTCCAAGGGCTTCGCATCCGCACATGCAGTCGCGCTCCTGTGGATCCAAAGCCGTGGGACCCTGAGCGGTCGGAGCACCATGCCCGCGAACCGCGGCCCACGGGAATTCCGCAGGCGTCACGTGTCAAGTTCGTCCGTAACCATTTTGGCTCGAACATTGCTCTTGCAGACTTGCGCGCCCCGCCACGCCGCGCCGCGCGCCTGTTCGCGGCGCCCGTGCGACGATGGCATCCCCCGCGGGCGCGCCAGCGCCCAGCGCCGGGCGCGACGGCCGCGGAGGCCGCGGTCACCGCGGCATCCTCGACGACGTGTTCGGCCTCTTCCGCAGGGGATTCAACGCTGCCCAGGTGCGGGCTGATCTCCGGGGCCGCCTGAAGGAGGACGGAAGGAGTCGAGTCTATTCTGATTCCAGGATCTCGCAGCTTCTGAGAGCCGCGAGAGAAGCAGGTCTCGCGGACTCTCTGGCAGTCTCGCCGCCGCGCAGCCAGGCGACCCGTGGGGCCGATCGCGCGGCGGCGCCGAACCCATTGCCGCTGCGCCCCCCCGCGGCGGCCTCGCCCGCCAGCGGCCTCGCCCCCAGGCTGCCTGTGCGGAAAAGACTTGCGGCACAGCCGGGCGACGGCGCCAAGCGCGGCCGCGCCCGGAGCCGCGCCGCTGGCCTTGTGGAGGACAGCGAGCCGGAGGATCCAGACGAATTCCAGCCCCCGCCGGTGCCCGCCAGAATGAACCCCTCGCCCTACCTGCCCGTGGAGGACAACGACGGCGACACGGACGCAGATGCGCCGGCGGCGCCTCCGCCGCTGCCGCCGCACGCAGCACGTCGCCGGCTGCGCGGGAAACGTTCACCTCCAGCACAGACCCCGCCAGAGCTACAGGGCGCTGCTTCGGCTGCGCCTGCCTCGACCAACGCAGCTGCCAGCAGTGGCGGCGTCGCGGCGCCGCGTGCGCGGCCGCGCGCCAAAGCCAAACCGCGACCGTGCGCAACGTGCCGCGGGCTGACACTCGGAGACGGGACAGTGGATGTGTGCGCCTTCAGCACGGATGAGGCGGGGTCGCAGGCGACGCACACGAGCATTCCTGGAGGTTGGCGCTGCGTCTTCTGCTCGGAAGAAAGCATGCGGAAGGCGTGCAGCACCCCCGTCGGGAAAGGCAACGTTCTCCGATCCCTCAAGCAATTCCACTCCCGCACGGAGACGCACCCAGGAGTCTACAAGAAGGCCATGCAGAGAGTGACGCAGTGGGCTCTCATGGAGAAGTGCGGGCCATGGGTGCACAGTCTGGCCACGAAGATCACGGCCCCCGCCCGACGCAAAGGACAGCAGAAACCGGCTGATGAGAAAGCGGCAGAAGCCCAGAACCATTGGGCTGATGCCAAAGCCCAGCGCGCCTGCCCCATGACGAATGCGGCCCCTCGACAGCGACGGGATTACCGCTCCGCCGTCCTGGAGGACCAGCGCGTAGCGCGGAAGCAATTCTTCCCTGACGCGCCGCGCCGCCCTCGAGCGGCAGCGCAGGAGCTCGATGCGGACATCGACAACAGCTCCGGGCTGCCGGCAGCATTCGTCTCGGAGGTGTCCAAGGGCCTGGAGGGGTGGTGCAGGTACGGCGCCTGGGGCAGCTGCCGGGAGTGCAGCCTCATGCAGGCGCGCCCGCTCCACGAGAAGTCCCTGAGGGAAGCGTCGCTGCCAACGTTCCCGAAGTCGCAGTGCAAGCGCTGCAGCAGCAAACGACAACCATATGTTCCCGAGCCAGGCCACGTCCCGGAGCCGCTGAAAGGCCTCACCGACGCGGCCGTAGCAGCGCTGCGGCCCCTGGACTTCGACGTTGGACCTGAGGAACGTGCGCGGACCGCTTGGGGCGCCGACAGGGGATACCGCAAACACACCCAGGTAATTCGGTTCAGTTGGGCTCCGCTTCCTGTCAAGGAAAAGATTAAGGCCCTTCCGGACAGGGAACAGAGGCGGGCAGCACGTGCGGCCTGGCGCTACCTGAAGAACGCTGAGGACTCCCAGTACATGAAGTTCCACACGGAGCACCTGCAGTTCCTGCGCCAGCACGACGTCGACGCCGACGAGAAGATACGGCGGCTCCCTGTTGGAGCCATGGAGCGCCTGGGCCTCGAGTGCGCGGTGTGGCCGCATTTGTATTGGAAAACGGAGATGTGCGAGACGTACGTGCGCCTGGCGGATGCCCGGAGAACGAAGGCGGCGCGGCGCCAGCGACGGCGGGGCGCGGATGGCCAGGACAGCGCTCACGGCGACGACCCCAAGGACAGCGACGCCAGCACCGACTCGGAGTCCAGCGCGGAGGAGAGCGACGACGACGCTGCAGCGGGCAACCCCAAAGACGCGGACCATGGTAGGACGTCCATGAAGCAGAGCTTCTCGGCGAAGCTGCGGTCGCCGCTGCTGGGGTACGCCGCCAGCTTCGAGCTCCTGCAGTTCGTCTACGACCTCAACCTGTGGACTGCTCTGGGCAGCAAGCGGAACCTGCAGAGTGGCGTACCACTGCGGCTGCTGATGTCGGGGCATTCGTTCTCCCCGCAGTACTGGAAGCGAATGCACCAGGGGCTCACCGACCTCGTGCGCCAGGTGGGCTACCCCACTGTGTTCTTCACCATGTCGCCCTGGGAGATGTCTGCGCCCTACCACGAATTCCTGCTGGACGACATGAAGAAGCTTCTGCGCACTCGCCTGCACATGGCCCCGATGGAGACGCTGCATCTGTCGCACCTTTGCACGCAGCTCGTGTCCGGGCTTCTGACGGGATCCAACCAGCAAAATGCACGTAGCGACCGCTGCTGGCGCAACCATATCCTGAGCTGCAAGACGGGCGACGGGGACAAGAGCACCGTGATCAACTTCTTCACACGCCTGGAGTTCCAGGACGGCTCCCGCAAAGAGGCCACCCAGAAGTACCACGGGAGCGGCAGACCCCATCTGCACTGCCTGCTGTGGCTCGAGGACGTAGCGGACATCGAGCTGGAGAAGTGCCTCAGCGCGACGCTGCCGACCGATGAGACGCAGGCCGCGTACGTCAAGGGCTCGCAGGACGATCGCAGCGGGGACAGCAAGTGGGACGTGCACGAGGGGCCCTCCAGGTACGACGACAACGCCTCCCGCCTACACCTGCACCACACGCGGGACGACTCCGAGGCTGGCCGTCGCGCATACTTTCCCGACATCATGGACGCGCTCAAGTGTCACCAAGACGTGCAGATGTCCGCTGGAGATGCACTACTCCTGAAGTACGTGACGAAGTACGTCTCCAAATTCAGCGACGCCAGTTACGACGAATGGATGAACGACAAGGCCGCGGCCAACTCCATCGCGTGGCGTGTGCTGAAGGAGTACCATCCTTTCGAGCCCGAGATGGTCCTGCAGCTGGAGGCGGCGAACTTCCGCCAGTGGGGCGTGGGCACGAAGAGCCGCGGCCTCAGACACCTGGTGGCTCCCGATGGCTCCGAGGACACAGCTGAGCTGAAGGCGTACATGAAGAGCAAGTGGCGCCGCGACGACATGAGCTTCCTCGAGTTCCTGCGCAAGTCCACGCACAAGGGCGCCATCGCAGGCTGGCTGAAGAAGCTTTGGAGAGAGAGACCCGGGGAGCAGCAGGACATGACGGAGAAGGAGTTCGCGAACAACTACACCATGCGCGGGGAGCAGCTCGTGGCCGTGGACACCGTCTGGCGGCACAACGACAAGTTCTTCCGCCAGTGGGTTGTGCTGAACATCCCTTTCCGCAAGCTCGCGGACCTGGACGTCCCGGAGGTGACCGCGCGCGTGCCGCCGCGCCTGCGCGGCCAGGCATGGGCTCTGAAGCTCTGCGCGGACAGGCAGCGCGCCCCCTCCAACCTGTACAACTTCTGGCACTCCTCCGACAGGATCCGCAAGGAGATGAAGGAGGAGGCCCACACGGAGGACCACATCGAGGACACGGAGGCGCTCGTCGCGGGCCAGCGCACCCTGATCGAGCAGTTCTGGACGGGCGAGCTCGACCTGGCAGACGATCCCAGCGCGGCGCCGGACCCAGT